GGTATCGAGATGATGTTGATAACCAGTACATGCGAGTTGACAGTAGTGAGGTAAGGTACACAGAAGGCTCCAGCTTGGAACTCCGTGTTGATGTTGACAGCAGCCCAGATGCTGACGTCACCCTATTACGTAGCCAGACAAAGGTCGCAGTCGGTACTGGAAAATATGACATAAAATTAGACAACCTCCAGTGCAACCATACAGGAACGTATGACGTCAGGGCGACCAACTTTGTAACGCAGAATAGAAGTAACGCCGACCCTTCGAGGAGACAGTTTGAACTTCAAGTCAGTTGTAAGTATATACCAGTAGGATTTGCCTCGGGTGACAGTGATACCCTCGGGGTGACTCTAGGCACTGTCACACTCTAATGAATGTAGTTTTTATTTTATTATACCAAAATTAGTCCACATGTATGACAAAAAACTATGAACCTTATGTGCATCTTCTTTGCGGTCACTATTTTGCACTGTCACTCTACGCAAGGGCGTTGTGAAGCACCATTCCATTGACTTAATGTTAAAACGAATGTGACAGTGTGAAATAAACAATTTGTCTCGACCAATCAGATTACAGGATTTTCCCTATAATAACAAATGTAAACATCCTCTGATACTATTTGTCTAGGGATATAGATATGCTGTTGTTTATCTTCAAACTGTTTCAAAAACAGCCATAAAAATATATATTCGATGAAAAATCTCAACATTGGGCTAAAAGCTTACACACTTTCTAACTCACCTGAGGCACAATGTGTCATGGTGCAGCGACAGTACCGCTCGTCCTGCTGTTAAAATGAGACAACTTCCTATGAAATGGCCTTAACCCTCTCACCCCTGAAAACACATTTGAACTCTTCCAATTCAAAGGTTGGAGTAGTTCATTATGAAATTTCAGGGGTAAACAAGATTATAACCACCAGCACAAAACATGGCTAACGATTCAATAATTCATTGCATTTTTACCAGAGATTAAACAATCAAAAGGCTATTGTTTATAATTAAGGCTAAAATGGTACTTGATGAACGCTAATGGTTTATCTATAAGGTAACATCAAGGACCTTCCATTAGGTGCTGATTGATGGTGTTTTGCCTTCAGACTGACCGGGCGGTCCAGATGGTAGGTACAGTTACCTGTCCAGGTGATGTTGTTTATGTGTGCCTAATTGGAGGTACAGATGTTTTGGTTCTTAGTCATTTTAGTACCAAGATGTTTCGTTACCTGTATAAGGCGTTTCGGTACTTCTCAAAAGTCACTTTGATATATTCTATAAGATTTTTAGCCCTTTGACTGACATTTCAGCTTCGTATTTTGTTAGTGCTTTTTGTCTTGTGTGTTACTGACTTTATCTTTTAAGATACCTCAGCACATTTTTGTTTTTATAAAAAATTATCGGAATGTCCTTCTCTAAGTTACTGAAACTACCAAGTACCAAAATGACTAGGATTTGTTTTATATTGTAGGTGTCCCACGAAGATATGGCGGCGTGAATGCTGTGATTGGAGTGGCAGGGAAAAAGGGTCAAACAGTCGTACTCAATGTAACTGTGATCGCCAACCCAACGCCCACGATTCAATGGTCAGAGGGTTTGAAAACACCTGATGTCACAAAAAACAACGCCTATATGTACACTATCAGGGGAAAGGTCACGGTCACCACATGGTCAGACTTACTGAAGTACCACGTAAATGTCACTAATACCGTACCAGGGTTGCTGACCGTCCCATTTGAGATTCGTCCAGAAGGTAACATATTTAACATCAATACCTCGTGTTAATGTAAACCATGCCTACTTTCTGTACAGCAATAAACAGTCTTTGGTACGTTCATTCGCTGTATTAAAATTTAAAAAAATATTTTGGGCACATTATATTACATTGACACCATGTAATGGGGGCACATTGTATTACACTGACACAATGTAATGGGGACACATTGTATTACACTGACACCATGTAATGGGGACACATTGTATTACACTGACACCATGTAATGGGGACANTGACACCATGTAATGGGGACACATTGTATTACACTGACACCATGTAATGGGGACACATTGTATTACATTGACACCGTGTAATGAGGACACATTGTATTAAATTGACACCATGTAATGGGGACACATTGTATTACACTGACACCATGTAATGGGGCACATTGTATTACATTGATACCATGTAATGGGGGCACATTGTATTACATTGACACCATGTAATGGGGCCACATTGTATTACACTGAAACCATGTTTATTAGTGGCCAGCATATGGCTTTTCACCTTCCTTGAAGATTTGCTTTTTGAAACTGTTCTGACCAATTGTACATGAGCTGAAAGGCTGTAGTGTATGACTTGACGTTGCTGTAAGGCTGTAGCGTATGACTTAACGTTGCTGTGAGGCTGTAGTGTATGACTTGACGTTGCTGTAAGGCTGTAGCGTATGACTTAACGTTGCTGTGAGGCTGTAGTGTATGACTTGACGTTGCTGTAAGGCTGTAGTGTATGACTTTGTATTACATTGATACCATGTAATGGGGACACAGTGTATTACATTGATACCATGTAATGGGGAAACATTGTATTACACTGAAACCATGTTTATTAGTGGCCAGCATATGGCTTTACACCTACCTTGAAGATTTGCTTTTTGAAACTGTTCTGACCAATTGTAGATGAGCTGAAAGGCTGTAGTGTATGACTTGACGTTAATATTGTATTACACTGAGACCATGTAATGGTGACTCATTGTATTACATTGATGCCATGTAATGGGGGCCACATTGTATACACTGACACCATGTACTGGGGACACATTGTATTGCATTGACACCATGTAGTGAGGACACATTGTATTAAATTGACACCATGTAATGTGGACACATTGTATTAAATTGACACCATGTAATGAGGACACGTTGTATTACACTGACAGCATGTAATGGGGGCACATTTTATTACACTGACACCGTGTAATGGGGACACAGTGTATTACATTGACACCATGTAATGTGGACACATTGTATTAAATTGACACCATGTAATGGGAACACATTGTATTACATTCACACCATGTAATGGGGACACATTGTATTACACTGAAACCATGTTTATTAGTGGCCAGCATATGGCTTTACACCTACCTTGAAGATTTGCTCTTTGAAACTGTTCTGACCAATTGTACATGAGCTGAAAGGCTGTAGTGTATGACTTAACGTTGCTGTGAGGCTGTAGTGTA